CCATATGAACCCAAAAGGTTTTGGAATGGGATGTCTAACAAGCTCATGTAGGTATGAGGGTCAGGTGTCCACCAGCTTTTGGCCATATAGCGTATCTTCCGGCCCGAAGTGTTATTGGTTTATATATAGTATATATTTGTAGGTGTATTTTTGTAGCTCTTTAATACAAACTGACTTGTCTCAGTCGTCAGAGTTACGATCCCCATATGGATGGAATATAATAATTGTCATAGCCCACGGTCTGTCCTGATGGCAGATCACATCCAGACATCACTGGGGTGTAGTCCATGTAAGAGCCCAGGTAGATTCTTTCCTAATTGTCATCACGGGTAACACTTCCTTCTGCAGAGCAGCTTCTTCACGCATTTCATACATGAGGAATTTTTTTATCATTTGTATTCCACCACTGGAGATAAAAATACAATAAAAAATGTTTTTGCTGTAATGTAAAAATGCAGCTTCCTCCGTCTCCCGCCGAAAAGTGTACCAGTGGCAAATGTTTAGTTTTTTTTGATAATTCATTGTAAATTGTGTTCTGCTCGACTTCATTCATTTCTGATCCAACACTAAATGCCAAGGATAATCCATCATGACACGCGTGTAATTCCAGGCCTCTGATTGTATATGTTTTATTGTGTGTGTGTGTGTGTGTGTGTGTATAACGCTTAATAAAGGTACACAGACTACAGCCATCTCTTACCAAAATCAGACTAGCACCTTTGGTTTTTGTAATATCCGCTCCATCGTTTTTCTTTTTGTAATGTTCCTCTTTGTTTTCTGTAGTCGATGACCGTGTAATGTTTTAAACATATAACACTATTTGCCATTTTTCAAAGAAGAAAAAAAAAAATCTTAGTCCATGTTATAAACCTATTAAAATGTTGAATGTTCATTTTCTAAATCCATTTGTGTCATTTGTGTTCTTATGTTTTTCTTCCTGCGGGATGATCGGTCAATTTTATATCGCAATGTATTTGTTTCCTTTTTAGTAGAGGTGAGAAAAGGGAGATCACAAGAGGTTTAGGCCTTTTCACACTAGACAGCGCATTGCGGCCGGCTCACTTTGTTGTGGGGCTCGGCGGTCCATTGAAGTGAATGGCACCGTAGCCACGCCCTCTGGCCGAAATGCGTTCGGCCGCACGGGAACGAGGGGCACATGGATGCCTGCGGGCCGGTCAGAAAAAATAGTGCTTGCAGCATTTTTTTTCTGACCTGACCAGACCGCGTGCATTGATGTGCCTTGCGTTCCCCCACAACAAAGTGAGCCCGCCGCAATGCGATCCAGTGCGTTCCTGCCCGCATCGCACTTTGGTGTGAACGGGCCCTTAAAGTGACACGAAACTCGCAGGTTCAACCTTAAAAATACCTTAAAGTGACACAATCCCGCTTTTATTTCTATTTTCAGATTTCATTTTTACCTTATTTTTCCTTAGAAAAGTGTTGGCTGCGCTCCTGCCGCTCCTTCGTTTTTCTCTCCTACCGCGGTGCACATTATTTCAGTGATAACTCCACTCTCCTTCACTACATTTGCCATAAGGCGCGGTGGTGCAATGCTATTCACAGACCAGTTCCTCCCCTCCATACCCCATCACAGAGGATTTCGTTTGTGAGGTAAGTCTCTGGTGCTGATGTGTGCGCTTTCCACAGAGCGGGCAGAATGTAGATGGGAGGGAGACATGATGGCGCTTAATGTATCCTGACGTCTAGTTGTAGTTCACAACAGCCGCGATCACAGAGGGTAGCTACTTTTCAGCACCCATAGGGACCATGGAGAAAGTTGCTACCGTCTGACAGGAAGTTATTAAACAGGAGAAACAAATTGTTTTTTAAAGCATTTAAAGGGAAATATTTAAAAATTGAGCTAGTTCAACTTCAAATGATTATATAATAGATCTTCATCATGTTATTATGTAACTGTTGAGTTTGGTGTCACTTTACCTATTGACAACAATGTATCTTATTTGTGTATCACTCGGCTGCAGATCCTCCAATCATCTCTGAATTGGTGCTGACACTGTCCTTCCTTCTGGAGGGTGACTACTTGTGTTCCCCATGGTCCCTGTGTGTGTTGTAAAGTAGTCACCGCTCCAAGCTCGCTCCCGGGATGGACTACAATCTCAATATAAATTAGGAAACTACACATGAGATTGTAATCCATCCCGGGAGCGAGCTTGGAGCTGTGACTACTCTACAACACACACAGGGGACCATGGGGAACACAAGTAGCCCCCTCTGTTGGCTGGGGTGTCTCTTTAAACTGTTGAGATTTCATGTTTATGTTTGGAAGTGGGAGGGCAGGAAATGGCTTCAGAATGTAGATGACATTTCTGGAATCTCTGGTCTCAGACTGTAGAGGTCTCGGAAGACGGGGATGAAAGAGCGGAAACGCCATGTGCCTGCTTGCGTGGAATGGAGGCGAGCGGAACGTGAACAGGTGTGATGAGGAATAAGCAGTTCCAGGATTCAGCGAGGTTCACCCAAGGTAAAGACGTGACCGCAAACATAGCCGAGGGGATTTCAGGGCTTGTGTGTGATCCTCTGTTCCAGGACTGGATTCTCAATTAGAAATGTGGGCGCTGTGCCCTGGAGCCACAACAAGGAGAGAGAACACTACATCTACCAACACTCTTCTATAATTCAGGACAGACCGCTCTGTCCTCCTAAATAGGCCGCAGGCTGCAATTACAAAGCCATTACGGTGCAGACGGCAGGGCCTGATCGCTCATCAAGACGCAGGCTTCCCCCAAATGACTGCTGGGGCATGTTCTGGTGCATCGATGGTACACTCCTCTACCATTTTGCTCATGTCTGTAAAAAAATACAGCCAACGCATTTTGGGTGCTTTCAGACCAGCAATCTGTACTGCAAATACCTTAATCCTCATTTTTTGTTATTACCTATCCAGTGTCATCTCTGGTTACCAGCATTCAAGCCCCGATGAAGGGGGCGGTTTGAGCCCCTGAAATGCGTTGGCTGTGTCTTCTGACCCCTTATTGTGAACAATGAATTTTTGCTGGACTTAAGGCGCTCTCGTCCTTTTACGCTGATGTGCATTGCCTTAGCCCTCGTTCACACCTGAACGTTTTGTAGCGCGTTCTACGCTCGACGAACGCTCAAAAATATAAATCCCATCGTATTCAATGGGTCTGGTTCACACCTTGGCGTATTTCCGCCCGTCCCTAACGCGCTACAAAACGGCCCACGCCTGAAAAGGTACAGGTACTACTTTGGGTCGTTTTGTTGCGCGTTTCCATTGGGCTACAGCCAAGTAGCCTTCGGAAACGCGCGACAGTCGCGCAACTTTTTTACCGCGAATTGCGGTTTAAAAAACGTGCGACGGTCGCGCATATGCAATACGCCTAGGTGTGAACGAGACCTAAAGGTATTCTATGCATTTGAATGGGCTGCCAGTGCACAAAAAAAAAGCATCGGCACCATTCCTGTAATACAGCGTTGCACTGCGGTGCCATTTGGTTTTCTATGTTGCATTGGCGTAAAGCTGGCCTTAAACTTTATGCCCTTTAAAGTCAGACTCCATTTTTGTTTATTGGATTTAATGTAGAAAAGTGGGAACATTAATGTATTGCCCTACGAGTACCTGTTCAATGACACTGCAGGAAGTGAGAGATTCTAACCCAGGGGTAGCCAACCTTGGCACTCCAGCTGTGGTGAAACCACAAATCCCATCATGCATCTGTCTCTGCAAGTCATGTCTGTGGCTATCAGTCTTGCAATGTCTCATGGGACTTGTAGTTCCTCAACCGTTGGAATGCCGAGGGTGCCTACCCCTAATCTAATAGTTTCCCCACTCTAAAAAATGCTGCCTTTGCCCCCAAATAAAAGATTTCCCATCATTCCTTCTGACAACACAAAAGAGTGTGAAGGAAAATCTCCCAATTGGGGACACAAACAATAGTTTTGAAAATGAGAGGCCTACAAGCAGCTCAGAAACTTCCTAAAGTGTGTAAACTGGAACAGTGAACTTCTCTAATTTGCTCCTTTTTGGTTGGTGAAATATATAACTGAAAGTCTTTTATAAAAATGTATATATATTATATATATATATGACACACACACACACCTGTTGATCCTGCTGGAAATTTAGTGAACCCTTAACTTCCTGTGCGCTTTACCTTTGCTGCACTGACATCTGTAGCTGTGTTTTCTGCCCTGCCCAGCCCTCAGGACTACAGAACATCTCTTATGTAGATGAGGAGAGGGAGTTCTCAATGACATAATAGCCATAGCAACCCACATGGGGCCTGGGGATGGAAGGGGGCCCCATGAAGGATTGCAGAAGTTGCTATTCACCCTGTACCCCCTGACCTTTCCAATCAAGAAGAGCAGACATCAGATGTACAGGAGGATGTGTCCTGTAGTCTTAATACACTCTCTGTCCTAGGGTAACATTCATTTATAGACAATACAGGATGGGAGCGTTGTCACCCTAGAACAGGAAGTGTGTCATTGGCAGGATCACCAGGTGGAACAAAAGTTGGAAAAAGAAAATGAATGCGGCCACCACATGTAAGTGCCTGGTAAGATGCTATATATATTCATATTCAGGGATGGGCAACCCTCGGCACTCCAGCTGTTTTGGAACCGCAAGTCCCATGAGGCATTGCAAGACTGGCAGCCACAGGTATGACCCCCCCAGAGGCATGTTGGGATTTGTAGTTAAAAGCACAGCTGGAAGGCTGGGGGTTGCCCATCGCTGGTTTGGATGCACTATAATAATACAGAAAACACGAGAAGAGACACTCGGGTCATTTTAAAGACTTTTATTTGGAACAATCCAATGGAAAAAAAAACAGGTTAAAATTTCAATCGTTTTAACCAGAGTAAAAAAGAAGTCTAGTACCAGCTCCTGGCGATCATAAAATAAGTAAGAAATTTGCATAAATAAATCTTTAGGAAATAAATTAAACTTTTCAAACCGACAACTTTAACATTAACCGCGTCTTATAATACCATAATATTAAAAAAAGGCTTTTTTTTTGTGTATCATCCCCAGACGTTAAAAAGTCTGCGTTTTGTTCCGATATCTGCGCCAACCCTCCTGAAAAAAAAGTCACAAAGGCACCAAAATTCTGCTGAAAGTTCAACGGCAGTTCTTCTTCTCCATCTCGAGGGGGGACCCCGCGGCCCCCCGTGTTCTAAAGACTCGTGCCTCAACTCTCCCAAAAAACACAGCACAAGGCAGCCAAGCCGTCCTCCTCTCATCCACGCAAGTTTTTACATATTTTGTACAATTTTTTTTGTTTTTGTAATCCTTGTGGAAGCGTCCGCCGCGGACCGCGCGCGTCTGCAAAATCCTTGCTGCGTTTTATGTATTTTTTATTTTTTTGGTAAAATTATTTGAAAACCCGAAAGTGTCCTTTGTGGCTGTCGGAGCGGAATCATCGCTCGGGCAGGTTGATGACGGTATCCAAAATGGAATTCATCAGAAAATATTTGCTGCCGTTCCATAGAAGCACCTGTTCTAGCAGCAGGTACATTCAGTTTCCGTTACCGAGAGGCATGTCAGTACAAGTCCGGGACGCGAATAGTTTAGTGATGATGTCACTCGCGGATGTTTAAAGTCCACTTGTAACCAGAAGAAGGGAAGAAAAAAAAAAGTGCAACTGTGGCAGAGAGCAAAGTCACGGTGATCCGGCGTTACCGAAACTGCTTCTTTCAGGGGTGGGGTAGCTACAGAGAGCTTAGGAATGCGGGAATGAGTCAGTCCCATGGGAACTGTGCGAGGAACCGGCAACAGAAACCAAAAGGATGGGCAGGTAAAGAGTA